AAAGATGTATACATCATGTACAAAAAGAAGAGGAGAAAATGTGGGAACTCGATAATTTAATTGACGTTACTGTGGAACCTATCGTTATCAATCTAGGAGACGAAGATAATTCATCAGAATATTCAGAGGATGAATTTTAATATACCTACTTTTTTATTTTCTTTATTGTACATTTATACAACACTACATTTACTCACCATAATTTGAATTTTCAAAATACATATATTTTTGTGTGGAATAAAAGTCTATTCATTAAATTTAAATAAATATTTTGATAATAATATTGAATAATTTTATTTGAATTACTAAAAACCCTCTTAACCCGGTTATGATGCTTAAAGTAGCCTCATGTTTTGAAATGCTGTTTTTATATTGTTTACTTATAAGAGAAATGGACCGAGAAATTGAAGCGGCATAGACAAAGACGGATTGTCGGGGATTAAATTTTAGCTACCTGCTACAATTTAGTACAACCCGGTCACACAAAGTTTTTTTAAAAGTACACCTCATCTATACCGATAGTACATAATATAAAAATATTGAATATAAGCACCAGTACTACATTTATTTACGATTTGCATACATAATAAGCTTTTATTACTCTCTTTCATTTCTAAACAGACTATACTTATATATTGATAGCCGTTGCACTTTCTAATGTTTTCTTTCTTCATACAAAACTGTTTATTTACATTGTGAAATCTTTGTGTGGTAAACCAAATCTTATTAATTTTTTTTCAATTTAGAACTTGGTAAATTTGATTTCCAATAAACAAACTTCTTTATTGTAATAGTGAAGCACCGGTTTATTTTTTTGAACAAATACTAATAAAAGTATAAGAGGTTGATTTTTGCTTTGAAAGTAATCTGGAAATAAATATAAATTAATTAATTTATGGAAACAATTGAAATACATATGGTTATTTAGACGTCGTTCCAAGGCTGATATGTATGTATATATTTTTCCGGTAAATTTTTTTATAAACTGGCATATCGTAATACATACACTATTATTTTGCATTTTAGTACCATAAGGACATTATAGTACCAATACTATAATGGTAAAGATTGGAAAATTCTCGCATAACCTTAGTTTCTTTATTTGGTAACATAATTCAGAAAACGGAATCTTGTATAACATTTTCTATTAATGAATATGTCAGTTCTACAGACTTAATCCAATTATAATACATTGTCTACTAGTATGACGTCACGAAAACAGTTGTGAGAACCATTTTTATCAGCAGCAACGTAGAGCCTCTACGGTAGGGGTACTACTAGCTTTATAAAATTAAAATTATTGTTTATTTTTGAAATAAGGAATGCGCACATCATATTGGGCAACTTGCTATCTGCTATAATTTTGCTGTGAGCGCGAAGATCACGTTGCTATACCAAGGTCAAGCGGCCTCTAAACCATCGCGAATAATCAATACACTAAAAAATCGAATCGCCGTGCGTGCCTGTATATTCCACATGGCCATCCAAACGAAACTATCTTACGCTTTTCCAAGTCTAATTTTAACAAGTAATAATGACGTCCGGCAAGCATGTGTTCTAAAAATAAGGTTGCGTTTTCGTTTATAACCTCCCGATTTTGTATTTACGTGTTTCCGTGGATCATATCACGATATGTTGTCCAGGAGGCTTTCAGAATTCACTATATCAGTAGTAAATTGAAGCGGGCCTTGATCGAGGCAAAATCGTTTTCTGCATTCACGTTATCATGGATCTGGTGATTCCGAATGATTTTTCCGAGTTGGATGAATCCTTGTAAGTATTTTGATGTTCAGATTGTCCCATCTCATTTTTTTAAATGAAAATAGTAACAATATGCATATACATATACAAATTTAGCCAGTGATCATGTTGTAAACAAATAATAATAGAAAAATGTTAAGTTATCTTGATTTAACTTCAGAAGTAACAGCAGTAGGACTTAAAATGGATCCTTGAGGCATTTATGTCTCACAATCAATGCGTCTGAAAAGTATCACCTTCCCTCATTTTTTTAATTGTAATAGCCAGAAAATTAAGCACCTAATCATGATTTTGCATAGATTTCAGACGGATGGAAAGATATGGTTCAAAACGGCAATGATGTGGTTGCCAAATAGTAGAATGTACCAGAAGTTAAAAAAATTGTTTTAACTCCCAAATGATTTAGTTGACTCTAGCGTCACAGCATAAAGTTATTGCGTTCAATTTATAATGTTTTCGCCGCTCAAAATTAGTTATAATGAATTAGTTTGGGTTTGGAATCCTTGAATTTTATACCCGTAACATACACAGCATTACTAAATTTGAATGAAGTTAGTCCATATATCCCAGAAGTGGTAGCGTTACGCCATAACTTTTGTTCAGTCATTTTTCATTCGACTATTTTACGATTAAGTAGGTATGCTGTAGAGAAAAATTGACAGCCATACTCGTATGGAGAAATTAAATGCTTTATTGTTGCCGTATTATCCCCGAGCAAACTAAAAAGTGTTTTTTAAGGAGGTATATCGGGTTTACTCAAATGCACAGATGTACTTGAAATTTATATAGTGTATTACCCAGTGCGTCATATTTTTTTGAAATTTTTTTTGAATCTAGATTTTGAGATATTGTTGTTGAAAGTTGTTCATTTTAACATAGGTTTATATGGCGAAGATGGACGGTGCGGTTCTTTTTGCCCATAACTGAGAAAAAAATGTAGAAATTGTGAAACAAAACTTTTCCATAGATAGTGTTATCTTATTTTTGATGTAAAACTAATGTAAGTTTTGAACATAGTACAGCTGTATTAATTAGAAATAGAAACCAATAATTGCATTTCTGTCTGACTTGAGGATTAATGTGGCAACGTCGCAATCAGCTGACAGCAAGGAGGGAATACATTTGAAAGACTTGATAAAAACGAAATTGATTTCAAACATATACATTTTTCCTAAATCCCATGTACATTGTTATCAACAATAAATTATCCACAACAGATGATTTTTTGTAATGTTTTTAAAAAACTAGATTAATTAAAAAAGACTAGGAAGCTGTGATATATTTATTGGAATAAAAAATACAGTTGATAAATCCTTTTAATATATTTAATGGTTTATAAAAACATCGTAATCATTACCCAGCAATATTTAGGGTTACATAAAGTTTTCTTTACTTGATTAATATAATTAGTAATACTTGAGATAAAAGCATTTGTACGGAATAACAAAGGAACATAAATATTTCTCAGCAAACTTTATATCTAAAAAATTAGTTATAGTTGCAAAACTTTTGTAACATTACTAAAATAGAGATTAAAAACACGAACAGTGAGTAATAATGTAATTTCTATCACAGAACCTTCAAAATTGCATCCAACATTTTCTTTGACTTGGACGAGAGATGGGCGCGAGTGTCATTTCATTTCTTTAGAACTAAATTAACATAATTCTCGTTGTTTTACCAGTTCACATGATTTACGGATTTTAAATAAAGGATACAAATCTTCGCGAGGATAATACGATATATTTGCTATATATAATAATTATATTGTACATAGTTTACACACAATACATTTTTGAACGCGTACGCATCTTTACCCGAATTTGACGCGCAATATCTCCGATGTCCGAGGTCTGTAGGTTCGCAGTGTGTACAACTGCTAGTCAATTATTAGCGCTGTTGCCACATCTACATAGTCTTTATGCGTTCATTAAATATAATTTAAAACTACTTAAATATGATATTTTTATGTTGTTAATTAGTCAGTATGTATGCTATGTGCATATGAGTAGATTGCTATATAGATAATGTTTATCGCAAATAATTTCCATAAGAAAAGCATAGGGCCCCCCGGCGCTCCTAACTTCCCTCGGACCCCGATATAACTCTTTAAGTGTAACTCATTTTAATTCATGGTAGAAGAGCTACGAAAGACTAAAATTTTAAAACTAGAACAAAACTTGGCAACAGTGCGAATCTAATCACTTGACCTAGTTCTAGGGCAGCTGATAGACTTTTTTCATAACGAATGTCAAAAAATCTAAAAGTTACAATTACATATTGAAAAAACTCAAACAATAATAAATAAATAATGATAAATGAACTATACAAAAATAAGTAAAGAATCTGTGTACTTGCTTGATTTTTACAGCATATGATATACTTGAAATATTTTGGTTAATCTTCGAATACTAGTACCAGGATCCACTTCCACTAAAATTTCTGATTCTAAGTTCCCCACTCTTGAGTTTGTTATGTTTCCGTTCAACATTAGCTTATTGACGCTTAAAGCTCCTCTGAATTGTTGAACCAATCTTACAAACATTTTCTTATTCGGTACTTATAGATCGAGATCTGGTATTGTCTTCTTGCAACAGCATCGTTTTTCCCGACTAAAAGTAGGTTCTAATCATCAATCAACATGATTCTCGATTTGTATACACGCTTTTTTATATCAAACATCACAAAAATTTGAAAACAACACATAAATACACTGCCCTAAACACTTACATTACACAAAGACAATTCACAAGCTAAAGTATTTACCCATTTTTGTTATGCCAATTTTAACATGGCTGTTTTTTACCCGTTTACCATCCTGTCGTATCATACCAGGTGTGAAGTCAGTTGGTAGTAGCGGCTTTTCAGATGCGGTGGTTCGGAATTTTAACTGTACAGCAGAGGCTAACTTCCATTATTCTGCATAAGCGTTCGGAACGAGATCGGATTCTGCTTAAATTTAAACTGTTCACGATTTAATTTTGTTGCTGTTTTGTTTATTTTGTATGAATTTAATATGTCTAGCATCGATTGGTAACTCTAATAGTGCACTGATACAACTTATCACGACCACGTCAATTCTGGGTACCCAGCGGCCACTTGATTAAAAAAAAATATTTAAAAATCGTATTCAGCTCCTAAAAACTGAAGATTGAATTAATATCTTATCAAGTTATTTTTCTTGTTTATTTATTATTGTGGACGTCGATTGTGTATTTAACTGCGGCCCTTTGTTGCAGATACGAGAGGCTGCTGAGACGCGCCAAAACCGAGGATTTGACGGAAGTATCCGGCATCGGATGCCTCTACCAGAGCGGGGTTGACAGGCTGGGACGGCCTGTCGTCGTCTTCATCGGGAAATGGTTCCCCTTTAATAAAATCAATTTAGATAAGGTGAGTGTTGTTCTCTTCGCCGCTTTTATTTGTATTTGAAACACAGACGGCGGTTTCAACCGCAGATACCGATGCGGAAACCTACAAAAAAAAAAACACGTTAAGAGTTTATCGGAGAAGTTCGTACACTTTCGTCACGGCGCGTGTAAGCCAGCAAATGCCGATGGGCGGAAATCGTAAGACCCACAAGTATACTTTTTTTTTCTTTCATTTAATAAATAACATTGAAAGTAATACATACAGGGTAGCCCATCGAAAACGTACCGCAAGGCATTACAGGGTAGTAATGAACTTTTCGGCAAAATCCAAAAACAGGTAAAGTTTGCTTCTGAGGGGGACAACTTTTGGCGCAAAAAGCATAGCAAAATCTTCAACCCCCTAAGTGGGGGTGCCATCCCCCAAATTTTTTTAAATGGGAATGGGGGTCAAGTGGGGGGTCATTAGAAAGGGCTTTTAATTCTCTATACATCGATTCTTACTTTTTGAAAATCGATCCATTATTTTAGAAAATATGCAGCTTTGAAAATACGAACAATATTTTTGACGAGAAATGCGAAAATCGATTTAATTTTACTTCAAAACTTACGGTATTAGCTTGGTAAATTCCTTCAAAAGAATTCGCTGTTTTTTTTTTCTGATTTGCGAATTCTTTAGCCTGATTTTGGTGAGCAAAAAATTGTCCGCTTTTTGTTTCGTATTTAGATAGGCCACAAGAAGTTGCTAGATAACTGTCTTGTGACTTGTAGTTGAAGAGTACCAATACTGCCGAGTCTTTTAAATTGATTAATTATGGTGTACTCAATTCCAGAAAGAGTAGAAATTATTGAGCTTTTTTTCAAAAACAATGAATGCGGAAATCGGGTCGCCGAACTGTTCAACCAACGGCATCCTGAGAAACATGCGTCTGGAAAAATTGTTCGCGAATTGGTGGCCAAATTTCGCGAAACTGGCTCCGTTCATAACAAAAAGAGGCAGGTTGAAAATCCGGTACTAAATGAACCTACGGAAATAGCGGTATTGGGGCAAGTGGCAATGGATAGTACGCTGAGTACAATGCAATTGGCTACTGCGACAGGAGTGAGTCGTACAAGTGTCCAACGAATATTAAAAAAATACAAATTCCATCCTTATAAGATTCGGCTAGTGCAAGAGCTAAATGAAGACGATTTTGATCGTCGTTTGCAATTTTGCGAAATAATGACTGAACGAGCGATAAACGATAATTTCCTCTTTAATGTGTGTTTTTCGGACGAGTGTACGTTCTTCTTGAATGGTTTAGTGAATCGCCATAATTGTCGTTACTGGGCTGATACCAATCCAAGGATTTTCCATGAGACACACTCCCAACACCCCCAGAAGTTGAATGTATGGGCAGGTATTTTTGGAAATTCCATTGTAGGTCCTTTTTTCCTTCCTGGAAATTTGACAGGCGATATGTACTTGGATTTACTACAAAATGTCATCGACCCAGCTCTAACAAATATCATAGAGGACGACCCTGCTTACAATGAACACGAACTGATTTTCCAGCAAGACGGAGCTCCTCCACATTACTCGCTCAATGTGCGCAATTACCTAAATGAGACGTTTCCAGGACGCTGGATAGGACGAAGAGGTGCAATTGAGTGGCCCCCTCGGTCACCCGACTTAAATCCTTTAGATTTCTTTCTCTGGGGGCACATTAAAAGCAAAGTTTACAGCACTCCACCTGATACCTTGGAAGATCTGCGAGGACGAATCATTAATGTATGTCGCGAAGTAACACCGCAAGTGCTCCAGAATGTTCGACAACGGTTTGAAGACAACCTGTATCATTGTATGCAAGTTGGCGGACAACATTTTCAGCATTTACTTGACTAATACCGTAAGTTTTGAAGTAAAATTAAATCGATTTTCGCATTTCTCGTCAAAAATATTGTTCGTATTTTCAAAGCTGCATATTTTCTAAAATAATGAATCGATTTTCAAAAAGTAAGAATCGATGTATAGAGAATTAAAAGCCCTTTCTAATGACCCCCCACTTGACCCCCATTCCCATTTGAAAAAATTTAGGGGATAGCACCCCCACTTAGGGGGTTGAAGATTTTGGTATGCTTTTTGAGCCAAAAGTTGTCCCCCTCAGAAACAAATTTGACCTGTTTTTGGATTTTGCCGAAAAGTTCTTTACTATCCTGTAATGCCTTGCGGTACGTTTTCGATGGGCTACCCTGTATATAAAATAATAAAAGCTTGTATATTACAAATATAAAATACAGGAGTATGATACAAAAGTAATACATATTTAGTTAAAATTTTTATGTAAAATGTAATCATTCAAATCATTATAGAGATTTACAACGCTTTTTTGAAAATCTCGTTAACTTTATATCAATAAACGCAGTCACGTCATACAATTAACGTATTACCTCAAAGTGGCCCTGAATATAGTATGTTGCCACTAACAGATAGTGAATAAACTACCCAATGTGATTAGAATATTATCTAGAAGTAGTAATTAAACAATAATCAATTCTTCAAATTAACAATTGTAATATTTTTTAATTATATATTTATCAACCATTATTATCTAGTTTAATACACTTTGCTGCATGAGTAAAAAATTCTTATTACGGCCCTGGTCAGCACTACATTCAAGGTCACCGAAATCGGCTGAATGAGATCAAAGTGCTTCCACTTCCATTCAGCGACCGGTGGTCATCTTTATTTTCGTCGTTTGCCTTTTCTGTAATAGATGTCACTACTTATACAATTCTGACTTCGTATTCCGATATGTTAATACAATCCGTTAACAGAGGGCAGCACAATCTGTCTAAGGAGAGGCGCAGCCCTAGAAAGAGTGATGCCAGATCTACAGATTTTTTTGGAATTGGGGAAATAGGGAATTTTGCTTTATTTCTTGGGATTTTTAAGTCATTTTAAAAAGTATACTTAAATAACAACTAAATGAACTTTAAATGCAGCTGAGCACTATACTCCATTTGAATAACTTCTCAGTAGGGGAAACAAGGTCACTAGATTTACAAACAGAGGTATCTACTAGCTACTGTAAAAAGTTTTCTTTGTTACGCGTTGTGCTGCCCTCTGTTAACGGATGGTATTAACATATCGGAATACCGAAGTCGAAATTGTATAAGTAGTGACATCTATTAAAGAAAAGCCAAACGACGAAAACAAAGATGACCACCGGTCGCTGAATTACAAGTGGAAGTGGATCTTATTTTTGGAAGGGCGAAACGGGCGGTGACTATGAGACGAATCATTATAGCCATCCTTCTCTATCGCATGGATTTCTATGTCTTACTCTATCGCTCTCACGTAACGGCCGATGAACCATGAGGACTTTCCGACCCTGTATACGGGGACTAAATCAATGATTTTCTTATTTTTTTTCTTCGGTACGAATACTGTTTAACAAAACCATTGAAAAATTGTATGGGGTTATTCGTATAACGTTCTACCCCCCCTTGTCTTTTTTTACTTTCCTATTTGAAAGAAATGGTATGGAAGATGGAAGAAACATTTTTTTAAGTACTGTTTTGAACTTTGGCCTTTATCAATTTTTGTTTAAGTACGAGAAAATAAAATGTAAGAGGGGATAGAAAAAATTGAGATTCTCTAGTTTAATTTTCAAAACAAATCCAACTGTAGAATAAGACCTTTGATATGTTCATTTGTTTTCGAGCTAACAGAGCGGTATTAATTTTGTTGGCATTAAATTGGAGGTTAGTTTCGTGATTGCGATGCTATGAAGTTAAGTTATACAGGGTTTTCGAAGGTAAAATAATGCATTTCACAAAAAAATCTCTTTTAACATTTTAAAAATCACTCGGTTTTGGTTTGAGTTTGTGAAAGGTTGGTGTTAATTTAGGTGATAGTGTAAGCTTGTTGTGGACGATGTTGTTTTAACAAGCTTTTTCACTTTGAATGAGTAGTGATAAACATTTTTACCAAAATGNAAAAAATCTCTTTTAACATTTTAAAAATCACTCGGTTTTGGTTTGAGTTTGTGAAAGGTTGGTGTTAATTTAGGTGATAGTGTAAGCTTGTTGTGGACGATGTTGTTTTAACAAGCTTTTTCACTTTGAATGAGTAGTGATAAACATTTTTACCAAAATGGCACACACTTATATAATGATAATGAAGCTTGTGGTCGTAATTTTAATTTATTATGAATGACTTAAGAAGAAATTTTTAATATTGTCAAAGGTAAAGACACTAAAATCAACTGTATCCATACCATATTACTCGTATTTCGTGAGTGATTATTAGAACAAAATAATGACAATAAAAATTTGAATAAATGCGTGTTTGTAATCGACGAAACATTTACATAGCATAGAGTAAACACCTTACATAATAGCCACACATGAAACTTAGAAAATTGCCATGAGGAAGGCAAAGAACGAATTTCCATCATAGATTTTTAATTATTGTTAAGGATGTCCTAATTAGACCTTTCATTCTATTGTTGAACTGGTGCTCACTATTTGCATTTTTGTACAAAATAGCTTACTTGCCCTTTTGGAGAATGCGCAACGGCCAACTTACGTATTCCAATCGTGTAAACAACGATCAAGCACGTGCGGTTGCGAAACTATTGGTCAAAAGAGATTAAACGGCAATCCTCGTTAAAGACGCGCTTTGAAACAAAACAGGATATTGCATCATGTAACAGTTTTCATTTCGTGCGTATCATTCGTGGCATAATATTGATTCTGTTTTATGTGTTTTGGAATAATTTAAGATGTCTATCACCGCTCTGACTGATAAAGTGGCTGAACCAAAAAAAAAAAGTGTAAAAGTATACTACATTTTGTTTAGAATTTTATAATTTTTAATAGTATCTGTTTTAAATTTCCAAATGCGTTCCTTTGTGCTCTTATAATCACGCCGTGGCTGCATTCAATTGTTTACTTTGTTGGAATATACAAAATGACAGTGGTCAATTAAACTAGGTCCATGTCAGAGGTCTGAGATACAAAGATTCACGAACTAAACAT